AAAAAAAAAAAAAAAAAAAAAGAACAAAAGAAAACGTATCTATTAACTTTGTGACATAAGAAAAACAGACATTTGGAGGATTTGTCATCAGAAACGCAAGCCATAAGTGTGAGCTTGGAGATTTCAACCCCTCCTCCCATTTCTGGAGAAGGGTGGAGACGGTGCCCACGTGATGAAACCCCACAGAGCCCTTATAGTGACTCTGGGTCACCAAGCAGGTAGAGGCTCCTGGAGTGGGCACATCCCTTGATGCTCCCTCCCCATACCTTGCCCTGAGAATCTCTTCCTTCACCTACGTCCTTTAAAGTGAGCTTGGAAACTGTCTCCCTGAATTGTGGGAACCACTCTAACGAGTTACATAAACCCAGGGAAGGGTCGTGGGCACCTCACTCCTAGCTGAGCAGCCAGAAGCACATCCACAACCTAGACTGTGCAACCAGCACCTGCAGTGAGGGCAGTCTTGTGGGCCTGCTACCTCCGAGTAGCAGGTGAGACCCTGGACACAGGAACCGGGGCCTGTTGGGGGAGATGCTGCCATGTGTGTGCGTGCTGCGTGGTGATGAAAACAGAAATGACACTTGGGGTTGGCCTCCTACACCCCTGGACGTCAGTACTGTGGGGAGCTGGTGTATTGTTAAGCATCTGCACTTCCAGAACCCTTTATGGAGTTAGGAATTAGCATCTTAATACAGGAAATAAAGGAAGTGCTGGTCATACTGCTTTCCTCTTACGTCTGAAAGGAGACTGATCAGAAGAGCCAATTCTAAGCTTGAAAGGTCACTGTCATCACTATCATCCGTGCCCCCCACCCTATCCCTGGTACAGGGGACTGAACCTGGGGACATCACACTGGGCTACATCTCTACCCTTTAACAAAAATTTTTGAGTCAAGTCTCCAAGGCTGGGCTTGAGTGTGTGGTCCTCAGGCCTTCTCAGTAAGTTTCACAGTGTATCTGACAGCCCCTAGTTAATTTAGGTCCTCTGATGACACCAGCACCAACCAGGTAACCGAAATCCAAGGACCTGCCATTGGTATGGTCACTTCTGCAGAACTGACACGGCAAACACCATTATCCTTCTACAGTGAATTTTATTATCTCATGCCATATCCAGTTTTCTATATTCAAATACCAACCAACCAACACTAACAATGTAAATGTATTTGGTAATGAAAAGCTTATGTACCTGCAGTGATCAAAAACACAGCCAATGTCTATATTTGAAGAATTTATCTCAGTAAAAGACACACTGCCACTAATTGCCCTCAAAATATGTACTCAATATACCCCCCTCACTTCAAACATTCCCATTCTATTATTCTTGGCAATGTATCTTTTACTATAATACGCCTTTCAAAAAATGTAAACATCTTCCATTGTTTTAGAACATTCTGTATAGGTACTGTTTTCTTTCAAGTTTTAATAAAGTCAAGTGTTGGGAAAGTTATAAGGTTATTTTTACTATTCCCACATCTGTTATAACAAAAGTTTATGCTGTTGTAATATAATATTACCACAGAAATGTAATCACTTTAAAAAAGTCAGTCGTAGAATGTTTTATTTGAAACTTACTGTTCAAACTTTCAAATATAACACGCGGCAAAGAACAACAGTTACATGGCACATCCGCCAGTTCTCTGAACTGCCCTTTCTATAGTACGAGATACGCTACAATTTCTTACATTCATGGTGTTCTTAAAGGCAGCAGTGTCAATTTTCTACTTTGAAACAATTCTGCTAATGTTCAGAAATTGCTTAAAGAAACAACTTTTAGTATTCTACTGTTGCTCACATTAGTCACATAATTCAACATATTACTAACAACTTTCAATTCCCAACTCTAAGGTAAGCTGAACTCTGACCTAGACAAGCACTTTCCTAAATCAGCATACGTAGCTACTTTTCTCAAAAATATTTCCATTCTGAAATAACTTTTTATGAGATACTATAGTTTCATATTTTATTCCTAACAGAACTCATGCCTGTACTTTTTTTCTCAAAATATATTTGATATATTCTGTGCAAAATGTTAAAGTTCTGTATAGGTATGTACCTTATTTTGAAAAAGTTCATAAAATATAATTCCTAAAAACAACCTCAATATTAGACAATAGAGGAAGAAACATATCAAACAAAGCCTAATTTTTCACATGAGAAACTAAGAATGTTCTTAAAGCTCGAGGAATACGTTCCTGGAAAACCCTCAGAATGCACTTTGGTCATTATTAAACACATCAGAACAGAGGCCAATGCACAAGATGCTTCCTGTCGTCTCAGCAGGAAGGAGCTGCACTGAAAATGCAGTGAGGCCGGCTCGAGGCTGGCAGGCTGGGCGGGCAGGAGCAGGACATGACCTGGCCCTGCTCTCCACGCACTCCTGATCTGAAGATTAAGATTAAGAACTAGAGCTGCACCAACCAAATAAATTATTTACAATGAACTATTTTAAATTCCCTAAAACATGGGAAAAACATGAGGATATTCAATATGATACACCCTGCACCAGGAAAGTTCTAGATTGTTTCAAATAAATTGTTTTAGAAACTGG